TGGAGGGAATACCTACAGGTGGCATGCCTACAGATTTTCCTCCTCTAAAAACTATGTGCGTGTTATGGTCAGGTGCGTGTTATAGAGCGAAAAATACGGTACTTAAAAGGCTTATCTCTTTTTTTAACCAAACCTGGTAACAGGCTACTTTCCATGATAGCCATAAAGAAGGGGGTCTTCTGTGGTCAGTGTGGAAATTTAGTTAGTTAATTAAATTTCTATACCGCTCTTCATCTGAGGATCACAGGGCAGTTTATAATACAGTAGTACCTTGGTTCTCGAACCTAATCTGTTCCATGAGTCTGTTTGACTCCCGAAACTGTTCTAAAACCAAGGCACAGTCTCCAATTGGCTGCAGGAGCTTCCTGCACTCAAGCGGAAGCCGCATCAGACGTTCGGCTTCCGAAAAACGTTTGCAAACCGGAACACTCACTTCCGGGTTTGCGGCGTCCAAGAGCCCATTTGTTTGGCAACTAAGCCATTTGAGAACCAAGGTACCACAGTATATAGTATACAGAAATGCAGGCTAATTTTTTAAAATGGCAAATTTTGTGGCCTTCTTTATCGGGCTACTGTAACTTCACATTCCAGTTACGGAAAGTTATACAAAGAGCAGAATTCAGCATCCTGAAAGCAAAGCTTTGGGCTTTTATTTATTATTAAAATGAATGAAGCCTTTATATTTGAAGGCAGTACACCATTGATTACCAGTTGCTTGAGAAAAGTGTTCCAGTTCAGGATTCCTGAAACTCTAGTTTCTGAAACTCCTATTCTTTACACGTTGGCTGCACTTGGATGTCATTGTAAAGCATGGTTTACTGTGACAGAACACTCCCTTGCCCCTCATTTGTCTAACACGGTCACAAGGAGGAGTTTGCAAACTCTCACTTTTAATTTTCATTAATCAAAGCTTGTTGCATGTCAAAGCCCCCCCCCCCAAAAAAGGTGGGTTAATTTAACTATGATTTGTTTGAAAAAAAACAGCTTCAGGCCATGGGTAACCACAGTTTAGAATTCAGACAAAACACTAAACTATAGTTTTCTGAAAAACAGAAGTGAAAGGTGCTATGGGCATATTTTATGGAAAGGCAAGGCATAGGTGTACTCACTCACTCAATCATTTCATGTCTTGATCTCATCCTCACAACCAAACTGGGGCGGGTAGAGGTGTACAACCATTGGTTATTGTGACAGGGAGGTGGCTGAAAGGACCATTTGTTTCACATGATGGAAATTCTTTAGCTTGCCTCCCATCCAGTTAATAAAGGGTCGGGACAGTTGCAGGCAGGAGTTGACCGAGAGGATTTCTACCATGCTATCCAAAGGCAGCCATTGCCACCTGATGAAACCCACTGCCGCAGTCAGCTCAGTTGCTTAAATTGTGGTCCTGATAATGCCAAGGTTGTGGGTTTGATCCCCATATGGACCAAGCTGCATATTCCTGCATTGCAGCGAGTTGGGACTTCCCTTCCAACTCTACTTCTATGATTCTATGTAGAGAGAGAAACTTACCTAGACATTTTTGGAAGAAGAAAGAAGAGGAAGCCTGGATGTATTCACAGAGAAAAGGGCAGCAATAGCTTTTAGCTGTGAAACAGCTATGTGGAGCCTTCAGGTACAGAGACAGACTACCTTGGAATTCCACAATAGGGAGAAATCTCCTGATTAGGCTCCTGGCCACAGAGGCTGGCCTTCCAGATTGCTTTGGGCAAACCACATTCCAAGGTCTGACATGACGTCAGGCAAGGGAAATTCAAGCCAAGAAATCAAAGGAACATTTTCCCTTTGCAGCCATGTCCTGATTGAAGCTGGACAGCAAATCTTCCTTTGCACGGCTTACAAGCCAGGCTACTCCAACTATTTCCTTTGAATTTGTCACCTAATGAGTGACCTGTTAGGGGCTCATGTGGGGCAGAGGAGGTTAGGATCTGGCCTTCCTGTCGTCACATAACAGAACTATAATGGATCCAAACAAACAGGCCCTGGGAATCCAGGACTCTATCCCTATCTCTCTTAGGAAAGTAGTGAGGCTGAGCAATGTGCTAGGTGTTTTCCATACCTATGAAAGCAGAATGGTGAAGATGGGAGATTTTACCCAGGGGTGCAGTAAAGCACGTCCAAAAACTGCCTTTCAAACATATCTTTCTGCAGACTGCACAAACAGATAAGCTGTTTTTGCAAAAACAAGGATAGGTCACACAAAGGTTAAAGTGTAGGACTCCAGACACATTTACAAAGAAGGTTGCTTTCTTACCTCTCAGATCACACTGAGCATCCCAGCTGAGCACCGCACTTCTCTAACATGAGAAGTAAACAGAAGGCAGGGTATAAAGTCCAGGAGGCTGGCATGTTGAACTGTGCTTAAAATAAAAATTATACAAGAGTGGGAAGTAACTTTTCTAAATTGGGACAGGTAGTTTCACATGGTTTAAGCCACTAAATATATTGCTTGGATTTTCCATAAGGAAAGGGAAATGTACAGATCTTCAGGATGCAGGAGAGTCTGATTTTCAGTTCAGGACAGATTAACGGAACAAGTACCTTGAGCGTACAGGGACTAGTATTCAGACCTCAAAATGTTATGTTCAAGTAGAGATTCCGGATTCACAATGGGTCTGAATACCAAACTTAAAAGTACAGATGGAAATCTCAGGCTCTTCACATCAGGTAGTTTCAAGTACTGCAGGTCCCCAGGTGGAGATATCAAAACATTGTTTCATAAGAGTTCAAACCACACGCTCCAGCAGAGAGGCAGCATTTTGTGGGGAGATTTGACACCTAGACCACCCAGGAGTCAGCGGAGAGCAGCTAGCATCTGTCTGTACTCCAGGACCTCTAAGGCATGACGGATGAAAGCTCCCAGGGAGGCTGGACCTGCGAGGTCGTGGGGAGAGGCAGTGGTCAGCAATTATGTTTCAGGAAAGGGAGAAGACAGCAAACCCCCGGGATTCTGGGTGCAGGCTGAGCATCTGGGGTGCCAGCTCTTCTTCTTCCAGCTGTAGGGGGCAAGCAGAAGAACTCCAGAGCCCACTCAGGATCCAGCCATGAGGTAGAAGAGACGCCCCACGTAGTTGCCTCAGTTTCCTGGAAGACAAACGCACACCGTTCTCTTCCTCGTCCTCCCAAGAGGCGATGGGCGAGTTTACTGGAGGCAAGCGAGGAGAAGCGGAACGTGGGAGGGGAACTCCTGCTGCTGCCCAGCCCCTCTGGAGTCCCCAAGAGCAAAAGCTGGCCCTTCAGGCGCCCCCTACTTCTCCCCGAGGCGCCTCACTCGAAGGGGCCGGCACCCCAGAAAACCACCTTCCTTGAGAGCCGAGGATTTGGATTTGAAGAAGTCACAGAGACTGGGGCAACAACAAATACTTCCTTTTGTTGCTAGGAAACAGGAAATGTGCACCCGCCAAAGCTCTCCCCCCGCCAATCAAGATGGGGCTCCACTTCCGGCGAGTTTCTGCCGCCTGCGGTGAAGAGAGGAGAGGTGTAACGCCCAAAGTCTTCCCCCTTCAGAACTTGGCACGCGCGCAGAAAAAAAGAAAATGGAAAAAAATGACGGAGTGATAATCGGGTAAGAAGAAAAAAAAAGGAGCTACGGCAAGCTATTGGTCTTCTGCAGGCGCTGAGTGGCGTCGCTGTAGATCTCGGCATCTCCGGGATGAAAACTATTTTCAAACTCTGCGCTGGAAATTAGCTCGTCGTTACATTAGAACGGATACAGCGTACGGCTCTGCACTTTTGGCATCTCTATGAGACCTAACCGGAACTTCCTGTCCAAGTTTCTACGGCGGTTTCCGCTCTTGCAGTGCAAAGTATAGAGCGGTTTCGTTCGCCATAGAGATTCCGATAGAAGAGCGTCGCCGTCGCTGCTGGAGAAGAGAACGCGGACACAAAGGGTGGCTTCGATTTTACAGAAAGTTTCCCGCTCGTGCCTTTCAGGTTTCCCTGTGGTCGCCTCATGTGGTGTGTTACAGAGATACAGGTCCCAACAACAACAGTTCCACTCGGAACGTATATTTAGTTCCGTGCTTCCGAAGCCATAGAGAAGACCGCATTACAACCGCAGCAAATCTCATCCCCATTACACCCCTTGCCATTCCAAGATGCGTCTCCGGCCAACGCAACTGAAAAGCAGAACGACCCCAAATTTGGAACCAGGGATTTTCTTTTTATAAAAGGAGCGGGGTCAAAAGTTACCGGGAAACGCCACACTACGCTCGGTGTAACGGCCAAACCCTTCCCCGCCACACTTCCTGTCCGTCACGAAACTTCGCCCCGCTTTCCGATGCCACACTTCCGACCCTGTGCAACTCCGAATCCCTTCCCCGCTGCATCCTCGGCCATGCCACACTTCCTGTCCGCTCTCCCACCCCGCCCCGTCCCTTGCAATCCAACGAAGCTGCTTAAAAGGCCTCCGCCCTGGATATAAAATGCAATTATTTGATTTAGGCTGAAGCAGAGATGGGAGCCGAATCCCTGCCCGGCGTAGTCAACGGGACTTGGGCTAAGTAGCAATTCCTGCCCCCCCCCGCGGTCCTCCCCTTTCTGCCTCCGTTGCCTCCGGGGTCCTAGCGCTCCTCCTTTTTCTCCTCCTCCCGATGGAGCCGCAGACGAAGGAGAAAGCGAATAGACAAAGGAGAGAGCAGGTAAGGAGAGAGCAAGAAATGCAGGCTGGGGCAGCCTTCCTTGGCCTTGACTTAATGTCTTCTTTCTATTTAATAATGCATTTTCAAAAACGATAAAAAATAAAAAAAATAAAAAGCAGATCGGTCCTGGTGCATCGCCTGGCTCTGCTCCCCCTCCTTGCGCCCAGGCGGCCACCTCCCCTGGTCCTAAAGACAGCCATTTTGCTGGGGAGTCTCCGGAGATGCGTCTCTGGCTCGGGTGCCAGGCGCTGCCGGGACCTGCCCGGGCATCGCGGAGCCTGAGATGGGGCCTGGGGGGTGGGGTGGGGGGCTGAGAGCCTTTTGCTTTGTGTGGGGAGCGGGGAAGCAAGGGAGATGCGGGCTTCTCCTCCTCCCTCCTCCTCCTCTTTTTGTTTGTTGGTCCCTCGGTCCTAGAGACAGCCATTTTGCAAGAGAGGCTCTTCGGCCGGAGCAAACCTTTTGTGCGTCTCTGGGTTGCTCTCCCGGCCCCCCGAGCATCCAGCGGCAAACATCTGCTAGCAATTGCTCTCCCGGCAGACGAGCAAACGCCCAGACGTCCCCTTTGTTGCTGGAATCTATATTACGCCAGGGAGGTGGGAATTCCTTTGCAAAGGCTGTCTTTTAGGAGAGCAGTTTCTGCAACAGATCTGTCCATCTGCAAGAGCATTTTGCTATAAAAAAAAAGTAGATGGATGGGCAGCTCTAGCTCTCCGAAGGTTTTGTTTTCTTAACTAGAACCCCTCCATCCCGCATTTTACAGATGAACACGGAGAGAGTCTTTTGCCTGACGATTTCCATATGAGCATAAGAGAGTAGTTCACGTTAAAAGGAGGGACAAACCCTTGTGGGTGTTTCAAAATATCGTTTAATCTCACAGTCCTTACATTAGTATATGGAATAGCGGCAATCCCCAAGTACATTCCACTGTAATGACGACCTCCGTAGGTGGTGATGGGGATGTAAGCAAAGTTGTGTACATGCAAATATAGCCATAGCCCCCCACCTACCCAATTTGAAGCTTTATCTTCTAGAGACCCCACTCTCCTCTTCTCCCCCTTACCTTCCCGCAAACAGTTTTTAACCAGGGAATAGGGACTCAGAAGTAGGAATTATTTTGGTAAATAGAGACATTCTGGATTTATGCTGAATCAGATCGTCTCTGCTTCAAATGGGGTTCCAAATAGATCACTGCAACTTCGAAGTGTTTCTCTCTCCAGCCTCCCTCAAATCTGTACTCTAGGAAGCATCTAGCTTTCTTCCCTAGATTCAGGTCAATTTACATAATGCATTTATTTTGCTTCCACGTCAAACCTTTATTTTGAGGCTTTAGGCATTGAGTGGCAGCTATTTTTTGTACGAAAGGACAGGTGCCTTGACTCTTCGGATGAGAAGCCTGTACCTTCTGCCTAGGAAAGCTTCACTTCTGCTCCCAGATGTACGAAGGCTGGCTGTGGTCCTGTAGTGTGAAATGGGCGTTCCAGAGGCACTCTTTGTAGCAACCTTTGAAGTGGGTTCCTTAGCTCAGATTATGCCCTGGGGAGAGGGGAAAGACTTTCTCTTGCAGGTTCTATTGTCCAGCCAGTCTCTCTCCTCTGCAAACTCCTCTCCATGGTTTGCAAACCTTTGTTGCCTTTCCCTCGCTGGGGTCTTAGAGACAGCCATTTTACATCCCAGGACTTCAGCCCATACAAAGGGAATAGAATTCTTCCTGTGTATACATCTCTGATTGCCTTTGCAAATCCCAGGAACTCCACCGGAAAGAGAATTGTGGATGGTGCTTATGATTATTTTTTTATTTTCCTCTGGAATTGTTCTTCCATCTTCCATAAAGATGCATTTTAGCTGTTTTCTCCTCCCTTTATCCTCTCCCTGCCCCCATCCCCAGATCTTAATCCAGCCATTTTGCAAAGAGCACCATCCCGGCTCTGGGGGAGGCAAGCAAAATTCCTCCACGATCTGTCTTTGTTGAGCAGAGAAACGTATCATTTCCACCCCTTCCCCACCCCAAACATACTCTCCTGTCTGGATTTTGAACTCTGTTCCTACCAGCTGTCCTTTTCCTTCCCTCCTGGGGGACTAATATGGGTCCCTGTACCCCAGATAGCCATTTTGCAACTATTCTGCATAAGGCAGGGAAAATTTTGGTGGTGGTGGTGTTTTGTTGAGTGTGCCTTGCAAACTGCCTGCAGAGCAGAGTCTCTCTTGCGCTAAGGGAATTTCTGCATTCCAAAACCCCGTCCCTTCCTAGATTCATAGATAACTGTGGCTTCTCAGAGCCCAGGCCCCAGTGACACCAGCAGCTATAGGCCCCACTCGCAACACGAACAACTTGCATATATATTAAACAGAATATATGTTATCCCCCCCCAAAAAAATGCTGTACCATTTAGCCCCATGGAATAAATATCTTCCACCTACATGCTTATTATTGTCTGGTTTTTACTGGATGCATTCAATTTATTTTTGTTTGGTTGATGAGTTTTACCCTTCCAGCCTTAGACCACAAATCTTTAATTCATTTACAGCAGCACTCGGGATTTCCCCCTGCCTCCATGCAGTCCCTCTTCTATGGCAAATCTAACCCCATGAGGTTGGGCAATCAACTCCCCAGCCGTACCAATGATTATTTAAGGGCTGAGTGCTGATGAGCCCTGACTCAGTTTGCTTGCACTATATTTCTTCTCTACAACCCAGAACTTGTGGCTCTGCTTCTCCCACAATCTATCTATCAAGCAGTTGCTGCCTTGTGACTAGAAGAGGGAAGGATGACTCTAGGCCAGGCATAGGCAACCTTTAGCCCTCCAGATGTTTTGGCCTACAACTCCCATGATCCCTAGCTAGCAGGACCAGTGGTCAGGGATGATGGGAATTGTAGTCCAAAACATCAGGAGGGCTGAAGGTTGGCTATGCCTGCTCTAGGCCCACCTCCCCATCACTTAGGGCCTGTGGGTGATGCTGTGAAGGAGCTAGCTCCAACAGGCCACTAGACCTCATGAAGAGATTGGCAGAACCCTTTATGTGGGCAGCTGTCGGTTGCTTCTTGGGAATTGCAAGTGGGGAGAGTTCCTGTTGCTCTCCGGTCCCTTTTGCAGGCATCTGGTTGGCCACTGTGAGAACTAGGAAGAACTGGACTAAGGCATGATTCAGCTGGGCTCTTCTTCATGGTTGTGGGAGCACAGTGTTGAAGAAGAGTATTGCAGGATCAGGCCGATGGCCCATCTAATCCAGCCAACCAGATACCTGGGGGAAACCTGGGACCAGAATGTGAGCACAAGAACACTCTCCCCTCCTGTGGTTTCCAGCAACTGGTATTCAGCTTGGGGGTAATCCTGGATCCTTTGCTGCCATTTGAGGCTCAGGTGGCCTCAATGGCCTGGAGTGCCTTCCATCAGCTTAGGCTGGTGGCCCAGCTGTGCCCCTACCCAGACAGGGACAACCCAACTACTCTTGTCTATGCTCTGGTAACCTTGAGGTTCTGCAATGGGTTATACATACTCTGAAGACGTACATACTGTATTCATACTCTGAAGGCTCTGAAGACGGCTTGGAAACTTCAGCTGGTGCAGAATTCAGCGGTCATACTTCAGGAGATGAGACCGCCTCTCTCCATATGAACCAACCTGGTTCCTGTGGTCATCGTCTCAGGCCCTTCTTCATGTGCCTCCTCCAGGAGAGGTCCGGAGGGTGGCAATACAAGAGCTGGTCTTTTCTGCAGTGGCTCCCCATTTGTGGAATGCTCTCCCTAGGGAGGCTCGCCTGGCACCTTCATTTATACGGCTTTGGGCGCTAGGTGAAAACTCCTCTTCAAGCAGGCCTTTGGCACATTGACATCCTTTACTCTTTTAGATGGGCTTGGCGCAGGGCGGTTTATTGGCTTGTGGGTTTTTTGTTCTGAGTTTTTACAATGTTTCTTGTGTTTTTATCTTGTATTCTTATGTTGCCAACCACCCTGAGATCTACGGTGGAAGGGCAGTGTACAAATCAAACCAACAAACAAATATTCAGAATTTTTGCTGCCTCCAACTTTTAGCTTCCTTTCTTCTTGTTTTGTTTCAGGCAGAGGCCTCTCCCAAAATGGCGGAGGCTGTGGAGGAGGAGGAGCCAGAGGTGGAGGTGAAGCTGGAGGACGATGAGGAGGACGAGCCCGGCTACATCCAATCCGGCCGGCGCTACAAGTGCCTGACGTGCAGCAAGACCTTTCCGAACGCGCCCCGTGTACAGCGCCACCTGAAGTCCCATGTGGCTGGCGACGGCTTGGCCGGCAAGCTGTCGTGCCCCAGCTGCAGGAAGGAGTTCCCCGACCGCGGGCAGCTCCGCAAGCACCAGCTCAGCCACCAGACGGAGCGCCCCTTCCAGTGCCAGCTGTGCGCCAAGGCCTACAAGACAGCGCCCGAGCTGCGCAACCATGGGCGCAGCCACAGCGGCGAGAAGCCCTTTGTGTGCCATGAGTGCGGCAAGGCCTTCATGCAGCCGGTCTGCCTGCGGGTGCACATGGCCCGCCACACGGGGGACCTCCCTTTCCGCTGCCAGCAGTGCCACAAGGGCTATGGCACGCTCTCCAAGCTGAAGATCCACCAGCGCTCCCACACGGGCGAGAAGCCCTACTCGTGCGGCGAGTGCGGCAAGCGCTTTGCAGATCCCTCGGTTTTCCGCAAGCACCGCCGCACCCACGCCGGGCTGCGCCCCTACCAGTGCCAGGCGTGCCACAAGACCTACGCCGAGCTCAAGGACCTGAAGAACCACGAGCGCTCGCACACGGGTGAGCGGCCCTTCCTGTGCCAGGACTGCGGCAAGGCCTTCTCACGCTCGTCGTCGCTGGCCTGCCACCAGCGCATCCACGCGGCCCACAAGCCCTACCGCTGCAACCTGTGCGGCAAGGGCTTCACGCAGCTCTCCTCCTTCCAGAGCCACCAGCGCACGCACTCTGGGGAGAAGCCCTTCCTGTGCCCGCAGTGCGGACGCATGTTCAGCGACCCCTCCAGCTTCCGGCGGCACCAGCGGGCGCACCAGGGCCTCAAGCCCTACGCCTGCGACAAGTGCGGCAAGGCCTTCCGCCAGCCGGCCGACCTGGCCATGCACCAGCGCATCCACACGGGTGAGAGGCCCCACAAGTGCCCCCAGTGCGACAAGAGCTTCGTGGCCTCGTGGGACCTCAAGCGCCACCTGCTGGTGCACTCGGGGCAGCGGCCCCACCAGTGCGGCGAGTGCGGCAAGAGGTTCGCTGAGCGCGCCAGCCTCACCAAGCATTACCGCGTCCACTCCGGGGAGAGGCCCTTCAAATGCGGCCGCTGCGGGAAGGCCTTCGTGGTCTCGTCCAGCCTCAGGAAGCACGAGCGCACCCACGGCAACGAGGCCGGCGACAAGCCCGCCCCCCTCGCCAGCCAGGACCTCCTCGCCACAGACCAGACGGCCATCGTGGTCGCCACGGTGATGCCTGCTTGCGGGGAGTGCGGTGAGGCCTTTGGCTCCGCTCAGGAGCTGCGGCGCCATGAGCGGCTGCTCCACCCTTCCCTGCGCCCGTTCCCCTGCCCCGAGTGCGGCAAGGGGTTCTCGGACCGGGCCGGGCTGCGCAAACACGAGCGCATCCACTCCGGGGTCCGCCCCCATGCCTGCCCCCAGTGCCCCAAGGCCTTCCTGGGCGCCTCCGACCTGCGCAAGCACCTCAAGACGCACGCGGCCACCGAAAACAGGAGCCCCGACGAGACCGTGGTGACCGCCACCATCACGACCTACGAGCAGCTGCTCCCCGCCCACATCCACCCTCATCACGACGACGACGGGATGGAGACGGACAAGGATTCTCCCTCAGACTGTCTTCCAGAGGCTCTCACTGAACCTTCCTAAGTGCAGTCTCTTCTTTCCTGACGTGTGACTGGGCAGCTTGGCTTGCCAGAATCATGGCTTCCCCATACCATGGTGGCATGCCTTTATGAACCCCATAGTCTGTCCTCCCTTCCCCTTCCTTCCTTCCTTCCTTCCTTCCTTCCTTCCTTCCTTCCTTCCTTCCTTTCCTCCTCCCTCCCTCCTTCCCTCCCCTTCCCCTTCTTTCGCTCCTTCCTCATAAGGCTGTGTGGTTGGCACTCCTTTGACGCCTCCCCTTTGGAGTACAGCTCTTGCTCCTCCAGCTCTTCTCCTTGTAGAAGCAGACTTGGCTTTGGGCGCTTCGTAAGTCTTGCCTCTTAAGTCGGTGTGGCTTTAGGCTCCCTCGCTAGCCCTGCCCCTTCCCCCAGCATCAGACATTTGCCTACCTGGTGGAACATCAACGACGTGCCTGGGCAGGTCGGGGTGTGTGGATGAGCTTTTAAAACACGGACACCCCCTCACACACACACCAATAGGAGTCCATATTTTTTGCGTCTGTGCGTGTGCTTCTGCCCCCTGCAGACCCATCCTGCTATCGGGTTGTGTGCGCATCTGTGGCAATCCATTGGTTTATTGACACTGTGTGGGGTTTTTTTGAGGGGGTGGAGTTAAATTAGGGGAGTGGGTGGGGGGGAGAATGCAAGGAACCTCCCCCCGCCCTATCAACTCCCAGGACAATTAACTCTACTCAATCCGGATCATGCTGTCTGAACAGATCAAATAAAAGCCTTGTGGTTGTTTTTTTAAAAAAAATGTGGGTGGAGAACGTGCTCGATCCTATAAGACTTGCAAGTTGTGGTTATGGGGTAACAGGACCCCAAAGTCTTTTTACTCCCCTGGCCTGACCTACTGGATCTGGCTCCTCTTCCAGAGCTGAGGGTGGAATTCAGATGTCCTGCTCCTTTCCTGCCGGCTGCTACAAACCTTCCCAGGGAGCACAGCAGTCTTCGGCCATCCATATTTCGTAGCCCTTGTTACTGCGAAGCCTCTGCTGCTGATTGGCTGGGCTGCCGTGACAGCTCAGAATGCTCAGCTGCTCATGGAACAAAGCAGTTTGCTGGGCCGCTGGTCTGGGGGAAGGGGAATTTGTCAGTTTGGTTGGGGTTTAAACATCGCACTGAGAGCGGCGAGGAAGAGAGCACGCGAGGGCAGGGGGGCCTTAAGGGCAAGGAAGCTGGAGACAGCAACAATTACACACACAGCTTGTACAAAATGTACACACACAATGCATTTGCGGGAAGGAAGTGGGCAGGCAGTGTGTGAGAGGTGGGTGCTAGGCCCTGGCTAGAGCAGCGTGGGGGGGCAACGTTTTTCATGTATGTCGGGGGCATGTTAACTTGTCTAAAATTAGTGGCTCTGGCTGGTGGAACACATCCTGCAGCCTCTTGTTCACAGGCGATTGTGGCGTTAATAAGAATAATAATTTTATTATTTATATGCCTCCCATCTGACTGGGTTCCCCCAGCCACTCCGGGTAGCTTCCAACAGAATATTAAAACACACACAAAAAAACCCTCAAACATATTAAGGCCTAACCCTGTAGTCAAAGACAGTGTGTCTTCTGGGCTTCACCTCTCCCTGGTGTGTGAACAGCTGTGGGTGGCTGGTGGTCAAGGGTTCCTGCCCTCAAGTCGTGAAATGGCCTGCTAACATATTTTCTGTGGTGGGAGGTGTCAAAAGCGATTGTCTTCCCATGGCAGGGCCAGTGGTTGGGGCCTCTCACTCGTGATGTTTGGCCAACCCAGACCAGGATGAGATTAGGGTGTTTTGTTTTCACTAGAGGCCCTGTGTCTTTTCAGCTGCACAGCAGACAGAAATTTAGCAGGCAAAGCTGCCGGGTCTTTGAGTCGGACCACAGGATCCTGCCTTAGGCCAAGGCAGACCATTGGTGCATCTATCTCAGTACTGTCTACACTAACTGGCAGCAGATTTTGGGGATTTTGGACAAAGATGTTTCTCCTCATTCTGGAGCTGACAGGGATTGAACCCAGAGCCTTCTGCATGCCAAGCATATGCTCTGCCAGTCTGACCAGTCTCTGCTTCAACAGGCAGCAGCTCCCCACTGAATGTGGGACAGAACTCCATGCAAAATATGTGCCTTGAACCTCTCCGCTTCCCCCAGCAATACTTCTCTGCGGTAGGAGCAGCTCCATCTATTGAATGTTCACTTAGTCGTAAAGGGATCCCTGACCATTAGGTCCAATCGTGACCGACTCTGGGGTTGTGGCGCTCATCTCGCTTTACTGGCCGGGTACAGCTTCCAGTCATGTGGCCAGCAGGACTAAGCCGCTTCTGGTGAACCAGAGCAGCGCACGGAAACGCAATTTACCTTCCTGCCTGAGCAGTACCTATTTATCTACTTGCACTTTGATGGGCTTTCGAACTGCTAGGTGGGCAGGAGCAGGGACTGAGCAACGGGAGCTCACCCCGTCACGGGGATTCGAACCATCGACCTTCTGGCAAGTCCTAGGCTCTGTGGTTTAACCCACAGTGCCACCCACGCCCCTTCACTTAGTCTTAGCAGATATTAAAGGTGTGCAGCCTTTGCCTGTAGAAAGGCAGATTAGAAAGGTTCCAGGGCCCTGACCTCCGTTCCAAACCCTCAACTCTTTGGGCCAGAGGTGGCCAATGTAGCCCCCTCCAGATGCTATGGACTACAACTCCCATCACCCCAGATCATTGGCCATGCTCGTTGGGGCCAGTGGGACATTGGGGGACCCTGGCTGCCCCTGCTCTGCACCCAGGAGGATGCGACAGGGTGCAGCCCTCCAGCTGCCATTGGATACCTTCAGTCCCCACCCACGTGGCCCAGGGTGAAGGATGATGGGAGTTGTAGTCCAACAACACCAGGACATTTCTCCTGCAGAATGACCTGGCAAGGTTGTCTTTAGCCTCAGCAGAGCTCAGTCCTTGCAGGCAGAAGCTCCAAGATTCAACCTTGGGCATCCCCAAAGAGCTTCCCTGTTGACAATACTAAGCAAAGTGGACCAGTAAGAGGCAGCTTCCCTGTTGAGCTTAATCCCCAGAAACTCCAGCTAAAAGGATAATATAAAAATCTGGTGTTTGCTGCTGCAGTCTGATCAAGTATAATGTTCCCCATTGGCTGGGAAACTTTTGCATCCCAAGAGCCACATTCCCTTCTGGGCAACCTCCTGAGGGCCATGTCCCAGTACTGGGTGGGGCCTGGGATAAAAGTGAGCAACAAACATACCCCTCCCACTTTCTGTCATAGGTTAGCTTATGTATACAGCCACACAGGGCTGGGGTGGCGGCGGCAGCCTGGAGAGAGGGGTGGTGGCCTAAAAAGAGATATAGAGGCCAGAACAAGAGGCTTGGGTGGCCCCAATTGAGATTTGGGTTGCCCCCTTCAGTATGCCTCTTGAGCAAAACAACAACTATTATTATTATTATTATTATTATTATTATTATTATTATTATTCCCCACATATCTAGCTGGGTTGCCTCAGCCACTCTGGGCTGCTCCTAATACATGTAAATACATAATATAACATCAAACATTAAAAACCTGAACCTGGGAACTTTTGCATGCAAAGCAGAAACTGTTGACTGTGGGCTACATCACTTCTCTCCTTCCCTCCCTCTGTCCTATGGTCAGGGAAATACACCCAGAAATGTTCAATTCAGCCTTGAAAATAGCTGTTTGCCTGTGGTGACTAGAAAGAGCCTCAAGGTGAGCAGACACAGTCATTTTTGCAAGGCATTTTGTTCTCTCTCACATTTTCTGTGGCTAGTGTTTATCAGAACAGGTCTCGAGAGACCAAAGTTTGAAATCCCCACTTGGGCATGAGGTGAGTTTGAGCCATTCATGTTCTCTCTCAGCCTAGCCTATTTCAAAGGGCTGCTGATGGGGAGGGCGAGGTGGTGCAGGCACCCAGAGCTGCTTAAAATGAGGATGAGACAAAAGCAATGCAAAAAATAAGAATAAATAAATTAGCAGAGGTGTAAATGTTGATGTCCTCCTCCCCCAACTTGCAATGTTCCTTTAGCAACCAACCCACCTCCTAACCCACACACAACGGCTTGTGATGAGTGTTGACCTCAGAATCCCACCTGCTCTCCTTTTCTCAGCTGCCTTGTGATCAATGACTCTTGTCACATCTGAGGTTAGGTTTCTTTTTCCCCTTTCTGAACTGCGACATCCTGTCTCTGGGAGACAGATACATGCGCACGCAGACACCAGCCCCAGTCGAGCAACACACGGACCCACCAGCTGACACGCTGACTTTCCTTCTCCTTCTGAAGGTAGGTATTTGTGGGTGGATATTAGAAGAAAGGAAGCTGGATCAGTAAGGTAAAGGTAAAGGTACTCCTGCCCGTACGGGCCAGTCTTGACAGACCCTAGGGTTGTGCGCTCATCTCACTCTAGAGGCCGGGGGCCAGCGCTGTCCGGAGACACTTCCAGGTCACATGGCCAGCGTGACATCGCTGCTCTGGCGAGCCAGAGCCGCACACGGAAACGCTGTTTACCTTCCCGCTAGTAAGCGCTCCCTATTTATCTACTTGCACCCGGGGGTGCTTTCGAACTGCTAGGTTGGCAGGCGCTGGGACCGAAAGACGGGAGCGCACCCCGCCACGGGGATTCGAACCGCCGACCTTTCGATCGGCAAGCCCTAGGCGCTGAGGCTTTTACCCACAGCGCCACCTGCGTCCCCCAGTTGGATCAGTAGCCTCCATTATTTGTTGACTTTCTTTGCTTGGCCTGGGAGTGCAGACCCCCCAGGTATCTCTATTTTCCAGAGACGTCCCTGATTTAGAGAAACCGTCCCGGTTTCTGATTTGATCCTGGAATGTCCCGCTTTTCCTTAGGATGTCCCTATTTTCATTGGAGAACTGTTGGATGGTATGGTGGGATGTCCCCATTCTCACTGGAATTTTTTTGGAGGGTTTGGAGCTACCCGACCCCCAAGCAATCCTGAAGGCAATCCTGTATAGGGAAGTTTTTTAAAATGTTTTGTTACGTTTTTACATATGTTGGAAGCTGCCCATAGTGGCTGGGGAAACCCAGTAAGATGTGTGGGGTATAAATAGTAGAATTGTCATTATGGAATGGGACGTCCCTATTTTCATCGGAGAAATGTTGGAGGGTATGGGAGTGTGACAAGGGGTGTGGGGTTTGCCCAAGAAAAGCCTCTCACGTCCCCTTCATTGCCCCACTGCAAAACAGCAGCCCTACTTTCCGGTAGTTGCTCCCCCCCCCCCCCCGCTTTACTCCTGCAATCCCAAATTGGAGGGAACCTGGGATGCACTCAAGCAATGGCTTCTTCAACGTGCACCTTTGTGGTTTACTCAGAGTGTAAAGGCAGCCCGCATTCTCTCCGACCCTCTTCTAAACCTCATATGAGTGTGCTGCCCACTTACAGCTCCAATTCTAAACTCCCAAGTAGCCTGTAGCATCCAGACACAGGAAGATTCTCAGTCCATGAGTCTGGCAAATGTACACATTTCAGCAATCAAATCAAGAAACTTTTCTTGCCAAAGTTGGAAGCCACCTCCAGTCTCTGCCAAGCTGTGGCAATATTCTGGTCTGTGTTCCTTTGAGAATCAAGATGTAGCGGAGGCTGTCGCAGTTTTAAGAAATATAATTTATTCACCTATTTACACCTTCAGTCCTCGTGGAGAGAGTCCAGATCTTACAGCATGGTCATCTCAAGAGGGGCTTGTTCCCCACAGCACTGCAGTGCAGAAGTCCGATGCATCTCCTGCCAAAATTGCTCTGGCCTTTGTTCCCAGCTATTCCAAGCCTCCTGCCAAAGGCCCAAAACGTTCTTGTGACATCACACTCACACCTTTCGTTCCTCTCAATGGCTGCTCTTCCTGCCTTTTGTCAAGTTAACGACTGGGACAGCTCCTCTGACAGGGGTCTCCTATCACAGAAAAACTGGCCTGACCTGAATTGTGGCACAAAGTCTGGTTCCAAGCATTTATTGCAACTAAGAACTCTGAGGACTCTGCCCACCCCCCACCCCCCAAAAACACCCTAAAACACTTTAGCTGAGAGGTTTTGCATCCTAAGGAAAAGAGGGCTGTGAAGTTGTTGAGCTGCGCAAAAGGGGTATTGCCCCAATTTTATATATACACACACACACAGAGTGATACACACACACACACACACACACAAACACAGGCTTTTTTTTTCAGTGGGAACCCATTGGAACTCAGTTCCGGAATCTCTCAGGTGGGCGCCATTGCCATTCTAAGAGAACAAGGAAGATGTTTATGGTGAGTTGCGGCACCTTTTTCCAGAAAAATAGCCAGGACTGATGGGATGTGGAGTCCAACAACACCTCAAGGGCCACAGGTTGATCACCTATTGTTTAGTTATTTTATTACATTTGTATGGTTCTCCCTTTCCTCAGGTTATCCTCTTAACAACCCTGTGAGGTAGGCTAGGCAGAGAGATTAAGATCTCCTCAAAGTCGAACTTCGTGGCTGAGTGGGGATTCAAACTTGGGTTTTTTGCTCCTTGTCCAGCACTCAAACCACAACACCACACTGGCTCCAACTTCACACAAACCACTTCTCATATACACCCTTGTGAAGCACAATAAGGACACGTGCGAGAAAGTTTAATACAGATGTAGATGGAATGCAGAAACAGGGTGAAAGTTTCTGCACTTGAAAGTTGGAAAATGAAGCAGTTTAATAGGCACTGACAAGACCATAGATTTTTGCCTGATAGGCAGTAGCAAGGAGTTCCACAGGGCAATGCTGCCACATGAAGTGTCTGATTCTGAGAGCACACAGAGCAGACCTCCTGATGAGACGGTAACTGCAGTGTGCAGTGACAACTTGGATATATCATGGGTGAAATCAGGTATACCGGTCCCCCATTGTATAGGGTTTTTGTACACTAAATCCTTGAACTTAGCCTGGTAGTGAGTTTGCAGCCAGTGCCTCAAAGCCCTTCCTCAGAATCACTCCTTCCCACATTGCAATGGACTAACTTCAAGCATGCACCGCATCCCAGGACGATCTGAATTATCAGTTCCTTTCTCATTGCAGGGTGTCTTCCCAGAGGGCGGCCATGCTGAAAGCGAGCCCTGCGTCCTCTGTGCCTCTCCTCTTCCTCTTCCTCCTCTTCCTCAGCGTCTCCCCGCAATGCCACAAGGCCACGGAGGATGAATGCCTGGAACACAAGGACTTCGTCCCTGGGCACAGCTTGGCCGGCGAGGGCATCGACATCACCACTCTGGAGAAGAAAGGGGCAAAGGTCCTGGATATGAACCAGTGGCAGAGGCCGGACGGGAGCTGCACCTTGTGCCAGAACTCCCTGCTGGAGGGGAAGCCGCTCCAGAGGCTCCCAGTGGCTGCCGTCGACTGGGAAGCCAAAACCTCGTGCCAAAGGAGCGTGCATTCCTCTGTGCAGGAGTCTGGCATCTCTCTGGTCCTGGCAGAAGGATCCGATGTGAAGAATGACTGGAAGGCAGGGCTGGAGGTGGAGGTGAAGCCCCAGGCCCTGGCCCAGGTGGCGTTGGCAGGATCCCGCTCCAAGATGGCCGAATTCAGCCGGGAGAAGAGCTCTCAGGACAAGTACAGTTTTGCGAGCCATGAGGTCTCCTGCTCCCACTACAGGTGATGAAGGCAGGGAATGGGGGAAGGCAGGGTAGAGGAATGGCTTGGGGGCAGACAGGGAGAAAGGCCGAAGGGCCGTAGCTGGCTTTTCGTGCTGATTTGTTAAGGGCGCCGGGAAATGTAGATCTGGGAGGCAGCGCCAGCCCGAGACGTTTCAGCACCCGAGGCAAACCACAAAACAGCACCCCTCCATTTGGGGTGAGTGACGATCTACATTGGGAACAAGGGAGGGAATCAAATCATTTACCCAATGGCGGAAGTGGACAGTGCTGTCTTTCTAGAAAAAGAGGTGTCGGAGCTCACCCTTGCTCTCTTAGAATGGAAACGGCACCCACCTGAAAGGTGCCAGAGATGAGCTCCAGTGAGTCCTGGAAGTGGGAATCAAAGGTCTTTGGGGAAAGGGGCCTGCTCTGAATCAAGCCGGATGGGTGCAGAGCCAGGGGCGTAGCCAGGATTTTTGTTAGGGGGTGAACCTCAGTTTGCTATGTATTTTTATTGATTGGGGGGGCAGCTGCCCCTCCCTGTCCCCCCTTGGCTATGCCCATGTGCAGAGCCCAGGAGATCTCAAAGGGCAGCACCCACCATTTCCTCCCTGGGGAGGGAAAAGACCAGCAGCGCCTCCTGTTCACCGAGTGACCCCTGTAGAAGTAGCATCTGGAGGAGGCAGCAGATCCAGCCTCCAAGGAGCCCTTTGCAACCATCGCTGCCACAACTATAAGTGATGCGTTCCTTGGAAGCTGGATCTGCTGGCCCTGTGGATCCTGCCGCCTAAGGCGGTCTTCTCACCTTGCCTTATGGGTGGGAGGGGTCAACTGCAGAGCCTGGAAGCAGGCCAATCAAATTAAGAAGCCACATTTCAGCAACTGCTACCCCACACTCCTATTTGTCCAATTTGTGAGCGGGGAGAGGGGGGAATGGTTTTGTTCCACAAGAATTCCAGATCAACCTAACTTGCCCCACCCCAATTTTGCCAGCCTGCAATCCATCAGTGCCCACCGGAAAACAGTGACTGCCTGGGAGCTCCCTGAATAACCTCCTCCTTTCCCCTGCAGCTTCCGCCTTGGGCATCACTTGCCGCAGAGCAGCCATTTCAAATACGCCGTGAAGACCCTTCCCAAAAAGTACCAGCCTGACTCCCGGCTGGAATACCGCCAGCTGATCCAAACCTACGGGACCCATTTCATACAGCAGATTCACTTGGGGGGCCGCGTGAGGGACGTGACGGCTGTGCGGGTGTGCGAGGCAACGCTGGACGGGGCGACCACGGACGAGGTCAAGGATTGCCTCAGCCTGGAGGCCGCTGCCAGCCTCGGCAAAGTCAAGATGGAGGCCGCCTTCCAGAAGTGTGAGGAGCTGAAGAAGAAGAGGAACTTCAAGGGCTCTTTCCACCAGACGTACAGCGAGCGGCAGACGGAGATTGTGGGCGGGAACAGCCAGGCGGACGTGCTGTTCTGCGACGGGCAGAGCACAGAGCCCTTCAAGGACTGGCTGGAAAGCCTCAAATCCATCCCCGGCTTGATCTCCTACTCCCTGATGCCCATCCACACCTTGGTGACCAAGGGGGACCCCAAGAGAGAGGGTTTGCGGCAGGCAGTAAGCGAGTACGTGAGAGAACGGGCGCTGTGGAGGAACTGCTCCCAGCCCTGCCCACCGGGGACGCGGCGCAGCGCCAGGGACACCTGCTCGTGCGTCTGCACCAGTGACGGCACCACCAACACTATGTGCTGCTCGCGGGCGCGAGGCCTGGGCAAGCTGAAGGTGACGATTGTGCGTGCCAGGAACTTGTGGGGAGACAACTGGTCACGGACTGACGCCTTCGTCAAGGTCTTCTACAACGGCAGGGAGATGCGCACTCCCACCATATGGAACAACGACAACCCAGAATGGAAGGTCCACTTGGATGTGGGGAACATCCAAGTCTTGGGGGAGACCAGCAAGTTGCGGGTACAGGTCTGGGACGAAGACAACAGATGGGATGACGACCTGCTGGGGTCGTGCGACGAACCCCTGCAAGCTGGGAAGCCGCAAAATAAAATATGTTACCTTAATCATGGGAGCCTGGAATTCCAATACCACTTGGAGTGCGGTCCCTTTCTAGGAGGTCCCTACTGCTTGGATTACGTCCCTCAGAAGCCGAACTATGTAGGTGACTTGTTGCAATGGAATGGCTAAGTCGACCCCGTCAAGCAAAGGGCTCCTTGAGACGGGGGGCCCAATGGATTTCTCCCTCAAGCTTAGAGGACCCCGGTTTTTTAATGTTCAATGTTTTATTATGTTTTTGTATATGCTGGAAGCAACCCAGTCAGATGGTAAAGGGTACAAATAATAAATTTATTATTATTAGTTGTTTCTGCATGTGCTACTTATCTCTAAAACACAATCTGTCTTTCTTCTCGCTTGCTAACATTCAAATCACCAAATTCCAGGTTTAGAGTTGTATCCATAGCTAGTTCTGCTCAGAGAAGACCCACTGAAATGAACGAGCCCAAGAGTGTCATGTTAACTTCAATGGGCCTACTCATGAGTTAAGATAATTACAAGAATACCTCACAAGGTCAGCCAAGCCAGAGCCAATTTTTGGAGAGGGTGTCACGTATACCCCTGAAATGTGAGATATTCCTAATGATGGACGCTTCTGGCCATTTGCCAGTCCCCAGCACCCCCCGCAAACAGATGGGACATATAGATACTGTATAGAACAGGAAATGCAAAGATTGAAAAGGTTGGTATGGGTTTCTTTGGGGTGGGAGGAAGCTTGCACCTTCTCACTATTGCATGTGTATGAATTAATGGCACAGGACTAAATGTGAAGGGAATACAACCTATAAAGTGTCATTAGGACTTAATGTACTCAAATGCTCCCTTACAAAATACATGTTTGGATGGGTGGCAGATTAAGTGGCATCATCTTAGTGCCACTTCTCTAGTGAGACACTTTTCTTTTGGCAAGTGAGTCGTTAGTGAATGGCACTGCATTAAAGTCCTATGGAAAGAGGCCAGATCTTCAATTAATACATTTCACACAACCCAAATGGTCACTTAAAAACTAGAGAGTTATCACCAGTCAGTCCTATCTGGAGTTAGAACCAGCAATGATTGGCAAGCGCAGAATATGTTCTGCAAAATGAAGGTGATTTGAGCTGCTTCGGGTCAGGGATAAGTCTCTGGGCTAGTTTATATGCTTGGCAGAACAGCAAACCTCTCTCTCTGTCTCTCTCACACACAATATTTTACGTTATAAAAGTGATTAGACTGACGAGAAAGCACATTACATCTCAACTGGAAAAGCATGTTACATCTTCTTTGAAATTGCTGTACCAAATATTCAGCCACAAATATCAAAAAGACCACACGGTCCACATCACAATTTAGCCCCCCACACCACAGTCTTCAGTAAGAGGCTGAGGCAGGAAGTGGCAAGAGAGGCAAAAAGCAATATACGTCAGAGCTTACCACGGAAGAAACAAGTAGAAAGAAACCTTAAAGTAATTGGGAGGGCAGTGGGGTGGGGGGGTGGGGAGAGGAAGCTGACGGGAGACTCAAGCTTCTCTCCTCAGACCAGATTTTCTCTCTATGCTTCTGCTACAAGACCTTGGACGCAGGGGACGCTACACAGACAATTTGTTCTGCTTATTGCCTTTTTAAAATATGTGATCATTTAGAACTTGCAGGGCTGAAACTTGCAGGTCTCTGTGTGTGTAAATGCTGAAGTTCTCAGGATGCGTATGTCCAATGCTACACTTTACAGAGAATAACTGAACTCAAAGTTCCTTGATTTAGTTAAGAAAAAGGACATGGTGCCCCCTACTGGCCAACATAAAGTCCTAGCTATTTCTATTAAGAGCTCTCCCCTCAACCCATCCACATAAGGAGCAGTCAGTTCTCAAAATTAAGTAGTTGATATTAGGAAGCGCCAGTTTCCAATAGTTAAGAAGCAGTGCTTTTTTTTTATTTCTAAAAAAATGTTTAGGGCTACTCTCATTTTCCTACTCATATTGAAATACTGCCCCTCAATGAGGCCAAACTTAGATTCACAAAATGTTTAGGGGTATGTGTACCCCTGCATCCCTCCAGAAAAAAAGCTATGGTTAGAAGCCAAGTAACACACTTCTCAGTAGCACAGGAGGGGAAAAAATTGCTTTGTTCCTTTTCATTACTGGTTTGGGGAATATGCTTTCATCAAGTTCCTCCCTACCCTATCTCTGAAAGTTATCTTTGGATTCAATCTTTCTCAGCCAAGAAGTGTTTGTTAGCAACTAAGGTGATATTGCTTTGCTGGGTCCGAGGGGTCCTCTGTGTAGAACCTGGTGTTTCCCATTGTGAGCATGTAAAAATGAGAAGGGGAAACGCAGATTGCTAGTCACAACCAAGGCTCCTTCGCAGATTGTATCTAGCTGTGTTTATCTTCCCTTCACACTCAAGGTGCTTTCTGGGGAACACAGCAGTGTACAACAGCTGCTCTCTACAATGGCTCTTGAATTACATTTGGAAGAGGCATTTAAACTTGTACCTTGGGGTGATACTTTAAAATGCAGTTTGAGACCCCTCTTCAAGAAATATCCCTCGAAGTATTCTCTCCTGCCTGTGCTCCAGGAGCGAAGCACACTCATAGCCGGCTACCATCTACAAGAGAAGCAGGGGAGTGGCAATGAATCACTACTGAAACTACGGCTTCTTCTGTGGGGTGAGACAACAGCTAAAATGAAAACAAGCAGAGAGGTGTCAAACTGGAATTAACTTGTTCCAGGGTCTCAGAAGTTCCACAACTTCACAGCTAAGGCCTGGAATATGTGACGCATTAATAAAACTAAAGGTTTCAAGCGTACATGCAAGCGTAACTCTTACTCCGTGCCAAGTTATTCCCACAGCCTCTTCCTTCCAGTTACAGTCAAAGGCATCCAAGACTGACAGAATGGGGGGAAGGAGCTTCTCGCATTGGGGACAACAATGAAACCACAACTTTGCAGACATTCTAGAAAGTGCTTTTATTTTTATATTACAAAATAATTTGAGGCAGGCTGCTTTTCTTTTCTTTTCTTTACATTCAATCTCCAAGGCAACTGGAACAGTTTGCTAAATGCTTTGATCTGGACAAGTCCTCTTTTTCCAAAGTAGAAAAATATCAAATTTTCAGGAACAAGGCCAAAAGGTCCTGGCTTCCATTTTCTCCATGATTTCCCAACCCATTTCAGCTAGATTTGCAGGCAGACAAACCCAAGGGGCTCTGACTCCTACTCCTTCCTATAACCCTCCTTTCAAGATCTGGATTCCCCCTGGCCCCTTGGGCAAGTTTTCCAGGTGGCTAATTCAAGGCCTGTGATCGGGTTTCCTGAGGGAGCAAAAAATATTGTTTGTGTGGTTTTGTCCCAATACTTTTTAAGGTTGGCACTGGGATTATCTCTCATTTCATTGTATAAAGAGAGAAGAGAGACCCAAAGAAAAGATTAATACACAGGGCTCAGAAGGGCTGTGAGCACACAACCCCTAAGGCATCAGGGACATGGCGGCTGGGAGGAGGGCCACACAGATGAAGGAGACATGGAAAAAATGTCAACTTTAAAACTGAAAGCAGGAGGCAAACAGCTTGGTAGAAACCAATAGAAGGCATTTTAGCCATGTGAACCCGGAGGTCTTGGCTTGCTGCCCTTTGCTTCAGCTGAAACAGGCCCCATGTACTTAATAAAGGCCTCTAAAAATCCAACAAACAAGGTCAGGACGAAGGCAGTAGGTTAGAAAAAATTAACAGAGCTGCATGCTGCTTCCCTCATAGGCACATCTAGCAGTGTTGAGTTTGTGGGTATGAAAGACCAGACATATCACCACCAAGTTCTGTACAATATCCATTTGTCCCCTTGTAAAGATGTACAATATACTGTGTGATAAGGGGGAAGCTTTAAAAAAACTCACATGGCTTGTAGCAAGATGCATGATAAAGAACTACGACAGGCAGAGGAGATTTTAGAAGGCAGGAACTACAAAAAAAGGGTAAGGAAAACTCACAGCTGTCATGATCAGAATGGGAGAATTGGGGTTCCTCAAGATGAGGAGCCATCTAGAATTCATTGCAAGGGAGGATACTGTTCAGGAGGAGGCCAAGAGAGGAACTGACCATTTGCTTGGGGGTCAAGGCCACAGAATGCATTGGGGGAGAAACAGACCCAAACGCAAGCCACGAAACAAAACAAACTGGGAAGTCCAAAATAAACACAGCAGAGGCTTTGCTCTAGAACAGATCTTGAGAGTTATAGGCATCTGGAAACAGTTTTGGATGCAGGGAAATCAGGGGCTTCTTGTTTCTGGGCAACAGGAAAGGAGGCAGCCATAGGCAGCATGTGCTTTCAGGACTGGGCGAAAGGCAGGATGCATCTCCTCCAGCCATCTATCAGTGCAAAGGCCTCCCAGGAGAGGGCAGACGTTCCAGAACCATGATGAAGCCAGAGATGGAGCCCTGAGGAGGGAAAATTCCAAAATTCACAAGAAAGGAAAGGGCAGAGTCAGAACTCTTCACTGCAGTTCCCAACTGAAGCCCTTCACCTAGCAAAATAGCTCTCCCACCACTCCCTCCTCCTACCTAGCCTGTCTAGGTGCCATTGCAAGAGGCATAAGGCATTCGAAATGCAGTGACTTATTCCTCAGCAATCACTAGTTGCAGGCAGCACCTCTAGCTCTGTCATGTGGTGCAGACCAGGTCAGAAAGAGCTGGAAATGACTACGCCCCACCCATGTGTAACAGCAGCAAGAGACTGTTGCAAAAGTACACTGGAGCTACATCAAGCCTCTTGTAACCCAGAGGGAAGAACCTGCCTTGGCATGAGATAAGGCACCTCTGAGCACGAGCCTCTAGAAGCCCAGATGCTGACCATGCCTCTCCCCTCAAATGTGCAACCATTCCTCGCATCTTTGTTCCCTATACGCACCATCGGGCTCCAGCAACGCAGCACGAAGGGAGAGGCAGAACTGGGAGCCCTCCTAGCCAACTGCAATGGATACACCAATGATGACGATGATGATGAGCACCGTGACTGTCAGGCAGATGGCAATCATGAACTTCTTCTGCAGAGCCCCAAAGCAGAGAACAGGCAAAAAAGGTGTTAAGGCAGATGGCCAGGGAGAGAGCTCTCAGCTCCTGCTATATTTTTAGTTCATCTGCTAGCCACTGGGAGGAAGAACAAGGCACTCTGACAAAGCACCAAAACACTTCGGTCACGGGAAGCCTTGCTCAACAAGCCCCCTCCCCTCCCTTCTTCCGAGATTTCATCAGGCATTGCCCATCATCTCAAACATCTATTTGGAACAATAAAGGCTTGGCAAGTGCTTTCCCTCCTTAAGTCAAAGCAGATGTTCCCAGGTTGCCAACTTTTGCCATTTGCACAGAACAGTTGCATGTAAGCATGATACAAACGAGGTCTATTCATTTTAAAGGAGATACAACCCAAATTTCTCCAGTGAACACAGTCAATTTACCTTGCGAGCTTTCTTTTGGTTCTCTTGAGCCATGTGGAGGTGGACCTGCCCTTTCTTGACGTAATCCTCTGAATCCAGGATGTTCTTCTCTATCCTGTCAATCATCTCTCCCTAAATGCAGTCAAAGGGGTGGGGGTGAGGTATGAAGAAACCTCTGAGTTGAATGGGAGAGAGGTGGGGTGGGGAGAAGAGACAACAGACAACTAGCACTGGGGCAAGGGCGGGTGGCCAGGGAAAATATGTGAGGGGGGCAAAGAAGCTTCCCCCGGGTAGGTAAGAGGTGGGTCTGGGTCTGCATGGGGCCACTAGGGATAGAGAGAGAGAACAAGGTCAAACAAAACAGTGAGAGTACATAAGAAATCATCCAGTACAGGCCAGGAAAAAAACAAAGGTGAGCACACCTCCTCAAATTCTAGCAACCTCATCATAATAACTAAGCCCATATTAAATCTGTGTAAAAACTCCTAGGAAGCACGGATGGGAAGTGTACTTGGCAAGAAGAGTGACGGAAAGGAGCTTGAAGGCTGGTAAGAAGCCAAAGCAGAAACAAGATGGAATTGTGAGTTGACCCCTTCCCACCAGGGAAGGAAGAGTGAGGAAGGACTCGGTGCCTGCAGACAGCACCTATATCTGCCCGATAGGGGTGGGAACGACATGTGTCTGTTGCCAGTCAGTGCAGAGAACGCCGAGCTAGTTGGACCAATGGTCTAACTTGGCTTAAGGCAGCTTCCTGTATTCCCAAGAGCACCTGGATCCCAAGTACCTTCTTTCTCCTCCCCCACTGCCATACCTGCAGCTCCACTTCAGTGGCCAGGTACAAGAACATTTCATGGAGTTCCTGGATGCTGCGCTCCAGCTTGAGGATTTCACTGTGCCGTGTCTCAATTTCGTTCAGAGCCTGCTTCGTCACTTGCGTGTCCTTCATGATCTGCGGGGAGCAAGTGCGGCCGGATAAGTTAGCCAAGGGCCCCTTTTCTACCTGATGCCCTCCAAAGGCCTCGCCTTCTGGTACTCACATTGGAAACAAACACCTCCGTCTGACCACTCTCCAGCATCTGGTCCAGCTCTTCATCGGAAACTGCCCCGCTGTTAGCTGAAGGGGAATGAAGAAAGCAGGCTCAGCACCAAAGCAAGGTTTCCTGCCCAAAATAAGAAGCAAAGCCAGACTCCCTCTCTCTCAGCAGCCTACCTTGAACCCTTTCACTACCCCTCCTGTCTAAAGGCCCTAAATCCCACACACCTCCAAAATCGGAACTCAAGGGCCACACAGCACCACTGTGCCTGTTACTCGGCTGTGGAGCCACAAAGCCTTCTGTCATGATGTGCTGCCTAGTTGAAGGGAGGTGAAGCTTTCTGCCTGAAGTCTACTGTCAGGGGCTTGACATTTTGTGCTCTAAACTCCAACATGCTGCATTCTTCAATGGTGGTTTAAATATTTGCTTTGCTTTATTCTAGGTTACTGAGGGGGTTTTCAAAACTTTTTACCTTCAGGGAACCGATTCCACATCAACAGGCCTGAAAAGCATTAAATCTTCATTTTTTACAGTGCAATCCTATGCATGCTGGCTCAGAAACAATTCCCAGTGAGTTCGGTGGGGCTTATTCCCAGGTAAATGTATACAGGATTGCAGCCTTAGCGCAATCCTGAACTAAAAGATTAACACAACTTTAACAAAACCCACTGTGGATATGATTCAGTAGAAAGAGAATATACATTTATAAATAAAAATAAAGCTTCCAAGGTTTTGTGGAGCTCTGGAAAAACACTAATCTTGTTAGACAGTTTGGTATCCTCTCTTCCCTTTCTCCCTCTATATTTAGATTTTTGCCTCAGCTTTATGTTAAAGTCGAGTATAGATGAAATGAGACACCGTAGACACTGGTGGTGAGGACCAAACCAAAATCTAGACTTTACAAGGAGGGATTGGGCTGATGCTGAGTGATGGGCCATCACTGACCAGTTATTAAAAGCTGTCCTGAAAGCGCCTCTCTAGCTCCTAAGCTTTTTTGCAAGAACTGTTCACATATTTGCAAGCTTTCCCCCTCTACAGTGAGATGCAGAATGTTTTATGGTGAAATATGAAACTGCCTACACTCTGCAGGCAGAACACTGGAGTAGGGCAGGCTTGGGGGCTTCCAGGGTAAGAGTTCACACTTCTTCCCACACCACCTTCACACCTCCTTCCACAGGGCTGGTAGCGAGGACCCAGCTCTTCAGAGTTTGTTTCAAGCCCTGCTTAAATATTAGTGGTGCCTTTGGTGCACATTCGCACGCTTTCCTGAAGATTGCTATTAAATCTTAGCATCACAAACACTCCTGTGAGAGATTTCAGAATGGGGATCTTCCAGCTGCCCCTACTCCTATTCAGCACTCTGCACAATTGGTACCTCTTTTAGCTTTCAAATTCATCTGAAGGATGGGGCAGCTGGATTAAAGGATATTTCTTGACAAACCATCTTTATTTGCTGTTGGAGACTAGGAAAGCCTTCACATCAGGAATTTCAGACAACGTTTTGGTTTCTGTGATCTGGCCTATCTGAAATGAAAGGAATGCTGGTAAACCTTCCTCCCATTCCCTCCCCTCATTTGGCTGTGAAACCCCAGGCCAAGTGTGCTTTGTGCAGCTTACACTTCCAACTCTTCTGCCTTTCAAGGTCATCTTCCTTTAGAGGACAGCAGACAGACGCTATCTGTCTCCACAGGAAGATGACTTGGCCCACGTACAAGTAGCAGCACGTCACTGAAGCTTTTATATATATATAAAACAGTTTGAAAGCAAAAGGGCTTTCAAGATTTTACAATACCTGCGAGGTGGAGGGTTCAGTTAGGAGCCAGGGTTGTACTAACCCTTCCCCACCACCACCCCACACAACAGGATACCTTTGAAACTGCTTCAGGAAGAAAAACTTGCCTGTTGGAAGACAGCCAGACTTTAGCAAAACCAGGTCTCCTAGTACTGGTTTTTTAAAAATGTGCATCTTATCTACCCTCCTCTTCTGGGCCCCATGCCTTCCCAATTCACAACCTACAACGTATCTCATTACCGGCAGCTGTTTCTCCGCTGCTTTGCTAACCCCGTACCTGAAATTAGCCATAGAAGGGAGGAAATGGGGCAAATCTCTTCCTCACAAAGACCACCAGTGTAGTGTTCTCAACTTCCCCCAAACTAGAAATGTTGCCAGTGCTCCCTTGCCTTGTGTCCCAAGTTTTGGAAATTTTAATAGTCCCCGTGCAGCGTGGTAGTTGAGCCTAGGCTCCACAAAAAAGTGGTCTCAAGACCAATATGCATAGTCATTTTCTCCAAAGCATAAAGAGCTATAGCTTGCCTTTGGGTCAGAGACATGCCTGCAAACACACAGGGGGGGAAATGAAAGCCTCATCTGACTACAGCCTGAAGTCACTCTGATAAGACAACTTGGGCAGACTTCACCATGCTAGGAATCACTGCAGCTGTATCCTTGAACTGCTCAGTTCCACTTGTCTTTCTCAGGAGCACAGGCCTGAACACACACTTGCGTGGATGGGAAAGAAAGTGTGCAAAAAACAGCAGTTATGAACTTGGAAGTTGCCTGTGCCATGGTCACAGGCTTTCTCTTTTTAAAGCCAATGTAACGTATCCTCTGCTCTGTAAAATGACTCTGCATCTAAAATGTGCAATGCAAATCAAGTTTGCATGCTTGTTTATTTTACATGTTTTCCACTTCTGCTAGCCGGTGGACAGATAGAAGTGTAAAGAACAGGCCTTAAAGACACATCATCTGACCAGTGGAAATGTTGCTGGGCCCTGCACCACGCACAGTTTACATGTTTTCAGTGCCCACTCCCTAAGATCTAGGAACTTGCTTTATAAACAAAATCAACAAAACTGCCAGAATCCACTTATACAGAGAGATTGCAAAGACATAAAACCCACGTGTCCCTGACCAGCATAACAAACACAACAGCTCATGCGTTTCTGGGACATCTCTAACAGCAGCATTGTGATAAGAATAGGGCACCATGTCCAAGCTTAGGATACTCATCTTAGCCACCAGGCAACCCAGATGACTTTGGACAAATCACAATCTTCCCAGCTACCTTAGGGCTGGCACCATGACTTTTCTAGTAAGTAGGAACCTTGCAGCTGATTTGGCACTGAAATGCAGTCATCTCTGGAGCCAGTGGGAAGAAAGAGCAGACACTCACTGATCTGCAGCTGTCTCCTGATGCGCTCCAGATTCTTGTCTCGGTAGTCAGACTGTATTGCATTGCACTGGTTGATCAGGTCCAAGAACTGTTGGGACAGGATCCCATGCTGAGGCAGAAATGGAAAGAAAGGGTTAAGGACACTTCTGTGGCCTCCTCCTCACCAGCACCCAAGCGAGCTAGCTGGGCCGCATCTGACCTGGGTTCTCTTCATACGAACGTTGATGGAGTTTTTGTTCTCATCTTCCCCATCCTTCTTGAGCTCAATTTCTATATTAAAAATAAACAGGGCTGCAATCAAGCCACGCCACTTCCTACTGGAGACCGAGAGAAGGCCTCCTCCTGGTTTCAGTACAATGAGCACACACACAAAGCTGGAGAGCAGAAGCTAGGAGGTCCGACATGCAGCACTCTTCCCTTTTATGCATTAAGGCCCAATCCTCCTTCCAAACTCACTTTTCAGGCGGGTCCGAACGTCTTTTGCCAGCTCCTTGATTTCCTCACGTAGCTTTTGCAGGTCTTGCTTCATGCCTAGAAAACACCAAGGTTAAAAAGTCAACAGCTGGGATTGTGCCAGAGAAGAATTAGATGACATCTGCATGTGGCTTTTGCTAAGGTGTTATGTATGTAGGTGCTTCTTTGCCACATCCCTTTCCCGCAGGCCATTTGGTCAACTGAAGGGAACACGGACTACAGTTGCTCTGCCCACATTCAATCCACTGCTAGGCCAAATCATTTCTTCTTGAAGAACACTGCAAAAATGGCTGTTTCTCCATATTGCTTTGGCTAAAGCTCCATGCTTCCACCTGAACTACAACCTCAAGTCTCCTCACCTCAATGCAAAACTCCTTTGTCAATATTACTCATTTATCCTGTTTCTCTGACCACATTGATGCCTATCTTCTGATCCTTTCAGTGGCTTTCCAGTCCATTCTACCTGTATATATAGAACAAAACCTTTGCCTTTACTTTTAAAGCTATCCATGGTCTTGCTCTGCTATCTTTCAGCTTTTGTTCTTCAATATATCCCACCAACAACTCCACCCATTTCCCCTGCTGCCCTCTTCAAGCGGGCCCTTCTTCTCTGAACGTGAACTTGGCACAACATCTGCTCATTCAACTCTCTCCTCACCCCTTCTCCTTTTTGCATGGACTTTGGCTTTTCCTCTTATTTACTTTAGAGTATTTCTATTCTGCCCAACCAATCAAAGTTCCCAAGGCTGCTTACAATGTATTTCAATCCCACCCCCCTCTGGTTTTCTAATGTTCTAACAATTGGCACCGTGCAGCTAAATCTCTTGACTGGGAACTGACAGTTGAACCACCCATCTGAATCCTCATTCCTAATTTAACCAAGTTTTTAACAATGCAGCATAGCATTTGCCCCTATTCACTCCTTCCTACCCTTGTCTGCCTTTCCATCCTACTGTTGTTCCCTTGCTGTCTATTTTAGGCTGTAAGCAACTTTGAAGCATGAATCTGTCTACTGTGCTCATGCACACACTGATGGAACAGTATAAACTGTCGCAATCCATAATCTGGCCTGAAGGCACATTATGCAGTATCCTTGCTAAACCTAAATCAGGTCTAGTCTGGTCAGTGCTTTGATTGGAGGCTGCCTAGGAATACTATGTACATTAATGTGAGTTCCACAGAAGACAGGTGGGGGTATACATCAATTATATTTTGGAAATTGCTTAATGTCAGGGGTTCAGGGACAGAGGCACAGGTGAGGGAGGAGATGGAGAGCGATGGGGGGGAATCCCAGGGCAGTGAGGAGGAGGATGACAATGACTCGAGGGATTCCATGAGTCTTTCAAGTGAATCGGAGGATTCCCAGAAGGGGGCGCCTGTGGTCAGGCCAAGGGGAGTCACAGGGGGGACTCATCAGGAGCAGGGGGCCAGCAGAGGATCCCAAGGTGGGAGCTGGGAGTCAGGACCGGCTTCCCCGCCGGAGCGCAGTGAAGGGGGTGGAGATTCCAGCGTGACAGGGGAAGCAGCTCCGTCAGCAGAGAAAGGGGGAAGGTCGGAGCAAGGCATCCTCCCGGAAAGGGAGGAGAGCAGTGGGGGGAGTAGTGTAACTGTCAAGAGGAAGGTTAGAGGTTGCGAACGCGTGCCAAGTTCAAATGTGGAGGCGCGCGGAAGAACAGGGAGTCCGGAGGAGGAGCCAGGTCCCAAAGCCCGCAGGAGGGGGCAAGAGCTGTCTGGGGATTCCGTGTCAGAGGAATCCAGGAGGGACGAAACCCCGGAGGGCAGAAGGACCCTGCGGAAAAGGAAGGACAGGAAGAGGTGGACCAGCACAAGCCTCTTAAACTGGTGTAGAGGCGGGACTGATTCAGAGGGGACTTCAAACGTCTAGGGATAAGAGACGCGGGGCTGCACGCCTCGGTTGTGGAACCAATAATGAACTGCAATAAACATCCTTGTATATAAGAAGAGCTTGGCGTTGGTCTTTTGTGAGCTGAGACCTGAGGCAGCCCCTGACACTTAATTTCTATGCATTTGGACACCTCTTAAAATATAATAACCAATTTTTGCATGATGGCAATTGAAACCAAGAAGCATGTTTTTGTTTAGATACAACTGGATTTCATTTTGAATCAATACGGTACACGGAATCTTTTCAAACTACAATTCACAAGAAAAGCAAGATATGAGGCTGCTAGGAGTAAACAGCAATGTGCGCTTTGCAACAAGGTAGTTCTAATTTTGCACCACTTTAAATCATGAAATTTAAATACCACTAAACTCTGCCCCTAAATTTTACCATTTTCTCCAACTTTTCATGGCCACTTACCTCCAAGAGCTACTTTGTCCAGTTTTCCCCCAGCCCATATCTTCTACTTTACCACCCGCATTCCCCCACTGCAAACTTACTATCCTCAGGGAGGGGTGTGGCCAAAATGGTAGTTTGATGTTTCTCTAGATCTTTTACTTTGCTTCCCAGAGTCTTCAAGGCTTCACGGATCCCACGTGTCTGAGAAGGCAATAAAAAATGATACGATGAGGAGGAGCCAATTCTAACCAGCTGAACCCTGACCTCATCTTGAAGCAACATTCAGTTATAGAAGTGCTGTCAGTCTCCTACCCTCCCCTTTCCCACTTTTCTTTGGGGGTGGTTAATGATAACACCCCAGAAGAAGAAACACATTTCCTTTTCATTGTCAATGATCCCCAAATCTCCATCAATTAAGCGGGTTGCCAATGAAGAGGTATCTCCATAGTATGAAACCCACTCATATCTCACTGTGTATAACTACAAGCCACCAGCACAGGGAACTGGCTGACTAGATCTATTTACATAAGCAGAAAGCATAATGTGTCTGCTCCACAGGGTTCTAGAAAATGCTCAAGTGATTTGCACCCTCAAGAAATCACACCAAAACACTACTGTGTGCGGGCAATACTGATGCAGCTTCAGCTTACCAAAGACTGTTCACGGATGCCAGAATTCAAATTATCTCCTCTTATTTTATTTAAAACATTTCCTCCCATACAGCTCACAGCACATTAAAAATAAAATACTATTCATAAAAACAGGAACATTAAAACTGCATGATATATAAAAAGAACACAGAAATTCAGCATAAAACCAATTTCAGAGGGAATGAAACTATTAAATGATTGGGAAAATAGAAGTTTTTTGTCTGGCACTGGAAAGAGAACAAGGCAGGCAATGGGCAAATCTTCCACAGCCAGGGCACCACCAAAGCGAAGGTGCTCTCTCTTTCTCCTGTTGCCACCTGCCTCACCTCTTTGGGTGGTGGCAGCTGGAGGATGGTCTCCAGAGCTTAACATAAGGAAAGGAGGGCAGGGAGGTAAGCATGGTCTTATTGTTCTTCAGTTGTGCAGCCAAAAGATCTCCAACTCCTCTGACACATTACAGCAACAAACCAATAGCATGCAATAGCAACTGTAGCAAGAAAAAAGTCAAGTGATCGTGGAAGAGTTTCCATGGGATAGTGAAAACAAAGATGATCATGCTGATAGATGCCTTTTTTGGCACCAGAAGCGGGTGGGACGTTGGTAGATGCGGGATGGGACAGGCTTATGCGTGTCCCACCAATGCGCACAGCGCCTTGGAATGCACACACACACACACAAAGGAAGATAGTTTTCAAGTCAACTCCGCACATGCTTAGAAAGAAAGATTGTGGTACCGTTCGGAAGAATTCGTCAGTTGGATCTGGAGAGCCATTGGGTCTTGCTGATCCTGGCTGTGGGACCAGAGTATCGAGTTCAGTCTCTTCACAGTCCGAGTCGACATCCTTCTGTTAAAGAGAGATGTAGAGGGAAGAGATCAGATGCACCAAAGCACTCACTGCACACGTGTTGCAGATGACGGGGGGGGGGGGGACACAGACAAAAAATCCCACACTGCTCTTAGACAAGATTCATTTTCATTCATTTACAAACATTTCTATCCAAATCAACTTCCAAATCAGCTAACAATTTAAAACCAATATTTTCAAACAATTTTTTCATTCCATTTTGCATAGTACAGAAGACACATGTTCTAAAAGTGAATAGAATCTAACATTCCATGGTTGCTTAAAAGGCTGACTTGGCACCAGTCAGCTGTGAAGAAGAACAGTCTTGTGTATTCTGTTTTTCTCCATATTCTCTATCAACACACACTGTTGTACTCTTAGACTAATACAGAACTTTTGAGAGCTATGGGCATCTGTGAGAAGATGTGCAATTGGCACTGGATGTTCATCTGGCCATAACTGCATGTGGAAAACTGGCATGTCGATCGGGTACCTGCATCTATTGCTGGATGAGATGCATAACAACGTTGTAGACATATAACCAGTGTTAGAAACTGAGATATGAAAGCTAGGAGTTAAATGGTACCTTAAACCTAGATTATAGGCACCCTTTTTTACAACAAGGATACAAAGCTGAATATGAGTAAACTGCAGCTAAAATTTTATGTTCATTTTTCACATGGCTTAGTCCTTCTCCTGCCCACCCCCTTAATATTCTTAAGAGGGTCTCTTCTCCAGTGAATAGCTAGAAGTGTGGAGGCAGAAAAAGGTCCTCCTTTCCTTCCACTCTGTAGTTTTAATCTGAAATCTTAGGCGCAGTACTACGCCCAGAGCTCAGAAACTGCTTGCACTAATGAAATTCCTTGTCGCAAGATGCGCCTAGAGAACAATGAGAGTTTCAAACACTGCATATAATGTAACACACATTTCACTGTGTGGATGCCAACCTGGTCACTACATTTTGCTGCACAATAAATCTGACCAATTTTTAAACATGTAATCTTGTACAAAAGTGAGAAAAATCTGTAACTGGGAAACATGGAAGACAAGTTGGACACTGAGGGCTTCCTCTGTTGGAGAACACTCTTGCCTCAGTCTTTAATTCAACATAACAAAAAAAATGTGTTTTGCTCCTAGATTGGAAATTGGCTATGACACATACAGTGGTACCTCGGGTTAAGTACTTAATTTGTTCCGGAGGTCTGTTCTTAACCTGAAACTGTTCTTAACCTGAAACACCACTTAAGCTAATGGGGCCTCCTGCTGCCACCGGAGACGATTTCTGTTCTCATCCTGAAGCAAAGTTCTTAACCCGAGGTACTATTTCTGGGTTAGCGGAGTCTATAACCTGAAGCATATGTAACCCGAGGTACCACTGTACTACTCATGAAGGATTTGGGATGAAAACCTCAACCAGCGGGGCTGGGATGTGCCTCTGTGTACTTTGGCTGAATTCTGCTCCAGCTCACTTGGACCTCAAATTTCTTTGTGTCAGTAGCAATGGCAACTTTTGCCCCCAGTTGAGAAGATGCACAACACAGGTCTTATTAGTAATATGCATATGGGCCAGTGTTCTATGGGAGCAAATCAAACCTCAAGAATGTGACCTAGGGTATAGAATCCAGTTCCAAAAAACCTTTCATTTGAATAAACTTTAAAAGCACAACATCACTAGCTAGTTTCTAGCTCTCATGGTTGATAAGAAATGCTTGAATGTACATGTTCAACACCAGGTGAAATGTCAATAGCCAAACAATGGTTGATCAAAGTTTCTAGCAGCTGGGGACAGGGCTTCAGCACCCTCCATAATTCCATGCCCTCTATTTCATGCAAAATATTTATGCAAATGTGCACTCTCCTGTGCTAGAGATCCATGCTGGCTGAAGCTCTTTCTAATCCTGCACTGTAGTTACATGGCAGTGACAGCATTGTCATTTGAATTACCTTTGTGCAGAATTCCATTTAGTTTGCTTCTTTAAAAAAAGAATAAAGATAATCCTGCTTGTGAGACACTTTCTCAAACAGAACTGTTATGAAAAGTTCCAAAAAGTAGATGACTCCAGAAGAACTATGGTGGCATCTTTAAAACTAATTCATTTAATTGTGGCATAAGCTTTCAAAGGCCAACAATCTTCTTTATCAAAGTAATCTATATAGGTAGTAGGAACATTACTACTCTTTAATTAGGGCTGCAAGCTTTAGCCAATTAAACTTTAACCACAGATTATGATTCAGCCCCTGCTTAATTGGAATACACCATTGTGCATGGTGCAGATGTACCAGCTCACTCCCTTCCTGTGTCAAATTTGACAACGGACTTGAAAGGAAAAAACAAAACTAGCAGCTATTTTGTATATTAGTGTGAAACCACCCTGGTTTCCTTTCTAGTAAGAACGACAAACATCTGAAACTGACATGAGAAGTCAGTAATATGTTTCCTAAATCTGTATTTTCTCGCTACTGATAAAGATGGAGAGACAAAGGGACAAACGGTCAGGGCAGAGATACTGAAATCTTAACAAAGCAAAGCCTAGAAATTTCATGTTTATACACAGGAGCTGAAGCATTCTGGCGGACAAGAAAGGCAACGGGAATACAGCCATAGTGTTGTTTGCTGACACCAAAAAGCATCTTAAATGTAGTGCATAACGAAGTGGAAGGTGACTTTTGCATTAAGCCATCTGCAAACATTGTTCAAACCCTGAGACAGAATCAAACTTGGTCCCTCTATCTCTCCCTCTCAAACCACTTACCATTTTGGAATCTTGTAACAAGTGAGTCCCAAATGTAACTTCCTAATGTAACATCATTTACATTCTGGTTCTTTTATATCCTATGAGGTCCAAAAGGCTAAGAGTTGACAACCTAAGGTCACCTGGTAAGATGCATGGCTGAGCTGGATTTTACACATTTTCCCAACCAAAAGTCTGGCACTATCCACCACCAGTTGCTGCCTCCCAAGACGAAAGACCAATGCAACATCCAGTGACATTATTTGGGGCTGGGTATCGCTTTGGTGTGCAATATTGCCTTGCCCAAATGAGTTAACATCTCCAACTTCTTTTGATCTCTGGAAATTCCTGGGGCCCTAATGTGCTCTACCCCAACTCCTTTCCATGGTGTTTCCACTAAAACATTGGGGTGGAGTAGTAGCTAAGAGAAAGCCTATGAAGAGAGCAAATAAGAAGATGAGTGAAGAGGGAACCAATGCAAGAAGGGACAAGGGAGTGTTACGTGAATATGGGGGACGAAAGGAGCACAGTGTGAGGACAAATGGGGTGCAGGGAAGAAATATAAAAATGCTGGGAGGCAGACTATGGAAAAGGGAGGGCAGAGATGGGAATAGTCTCAGGAGGGCAACCCAAAGAGTGGATGGAAGAATGAGGGTGACAGAGAAGGGGAAATAACTGGAGGCAGCAGGAGGAGGATACAGGGATGAAGAGAGCAGATAAACAAACCCACAACTGGGCTGGGGTTTGGGGAGGCGAGTAGGAAAGTGGGAGACCATGATCACGGGAGGGAGGAACGGACGGGAAAACAGCGCCCCCCACAGGAGCCTGAGAGGAAAACGCGCATTTGGAAAGGAAAGCTTTTGACTGTCAAGGGGAGGGGAAGTTTGAAATTTATGAAATCCAGACAGCGAGTAACAGAAACGAAAATGGCAACTCCTGGCTGTGTTTTTGGGGTGGGGGAGGTGCGCACCTGACACCCTGCGGGGGGGGAGCAATGGGGCCCCTCGAGGCGGACGGGGTCAGTGAGGGGAGGTGGAAATCGGCCTTCGGAGGTCGAGGGGCCAAATCTGGGGTGAGGTTTAGGAGACCTAAAATTTGGGGTGAGGTTTAGGGGGGATGAGAAGAGCAAAAGGGATTGCGGGGGGCAGGGGAGGACGAGGAGGCAGAGAGAGCGAACAGCCTATAAAAGGCGCGGGGGAGAGCGGCGCGCGGGGGGAGAGCGCGGCCGACGGCGCAAAGGAGGCACGGAAAGGGGAGGAGCAAAGGCGACCGTTGTGGGCGTGGCCAGCCGCGCGAGGATTCTCACCCCTCTGATCTCGTCCGTTCGGTCCCTCATAGCTGCTTCCCCCTCCTTTTTTTTTCTTTTTCGCACTCCCGGGGACGAAGTGGCGCGGGGGAGGAGGGGGGGAATCGGAATGGAGGGGCAGGAGGAGACTGCGCACGCGCGCTGGAGGTCCCTCCTCCTCCTCTTCCTTCGCCGCCGCCCCCTCCCCCGCCTCCTTCTTCCTCGGGGGTAGGTTGCTTGAGAGGCAAAAAGAAGGGGAAAAAAGAGAGAGAAACACGCTCTGTCGCCACCTAGCTCGTACTGCGCATGCGCCTTCTGGCCCCGCCGCTCGACACGGCGGTTTTCAACCTCAACCCCTCAGCTAGTGGAGAAGCAACGGAAGAGGAAGGCAGACACCAGGGATTGATTTAGTATGTTTATTGCTATTACAGAGTCTACCCGGGACCCGCTTTTTTCTGTCATTCGGAATCATTACAACGGAGGATTTTTATTTTTTTTAAAAAAAGCAACAGGAGGAGGCGGCGACTTGGGACGCCCATAATGAATGTCCATAATGACTTCAATATGGCAGCTGCCGGAAGTTCTTCTGCCTCTACCGGATGTCGTTTTTCATCAGCTGGACATCGGCTGTCATTGAGAACCATAGAGCTACATGTATGCGTAGAGTGTCCCACTAATTCTGGCCAATGCTCAATTAATACAGTAGTCCTTTGCTAAAAAAGTAGTGTCGTGTGGAAATGATTTGGAATGTGCAGCTCCGAATTTGTTTTTAATGTAACCGCCAGTTTTGGGATACAGACTATTTAAATTTCGCACAAATTTTAAATGAATTAAAACGGGCCAATAGGCAACAGGTTCCCCTTCTCACCTATGGAAAATGCTAGTCTTTCCTCACACACCACCACCTTTAAAGGTAAAGGGACCCCTGACCATTAGGTCCAGTCGTGGCCGACTCTGAGGTTGCGGCGCTCATCTCACTTTATTGGCCGAGGGAGCCAGCGTACAGCTTCCGGGTCATGTGGCCAGCATGACTAAGCCGCTTCTGGTGAACCAGAGCAGCGCACAGAAACGCCGTTTACCTTCCCGCCAGAGCGGTACCTATTTATCCCCGCAGGGCCTGTAAGACTGAGTTGTTCCGCTCCTCCACATGCAGCTGCTGGGTGACCTTGGGCCAGTCACACTTCTTTGAAGTCTCTCAGCCCCACTCACCTCACAGAGTGTTTGTTGTGGGGGAGGAAGGGAAAGGAGATTGTTAGCCGCTTTGAGACTCCTGAAGGGGAGTGAAAGGCGGGATATCAAATCCAAACTCTTCTTCTTCTTCTTCTTTTCCTTCTCCTCCTGCGATGAGGCTACATTTTAATGTTTCATTATTTTAATGTTGTATTTTAATTTTGTTTTTAAGTTGTAATCATTCAACTTGTTTTTATTATTGCTTGTAAGCTGCCCTGAGCCCGGCCTTGGCTGGGGAGGGCAGGGTATAAATAAAAATTATTATTATTATTACTTGCACTTTGACGTGCTTCTGAAATGCTAGGTTGGCAGGAGCAGGGACGGAGCAATGGGAACTCACCCTGTCGCGGGGATTCGAACCGCTGACCTTCTGATCGACAAGTCCTAGGCTCTGTGGTGTAATCCACAGTGCCACTCGCGTCCACCATCTTTAGTTCACAAAAATTCAGCTTGTGAAGCCCAAAATGCAGGGGCTGTAATGGGAAATAAATCTTTGCCCACTGAATTTCTGGCTGTCAAAGCTACTACATGAACCTTTGCCAGAAAAAAAGTTGGCAACTCTTTGTCTCCATTGGTAATTTGGAAGAAAGTTGCTTTCTTCATTTTCCTGTCAATGTACTATAAATTACTAATAATGTATATTCTGATCATCCCATCTCCAAAAGGACATTGTAGACCTGAAAAGGGCACCCGAAATGATCAGGGCACTTTGCTTTTGAGGAAAGCCTAAACATATTGAGGCTTTTAGTTTAAGAAAAAATGATGATTAAAAGTAAGGAATATTTTTAAAAAACCACTTATTAAGTGGTGCATACTGTAGAGGATGCAGCTAGAAAGAAGCTTTTCTCCTGCTGCTGCTGTAATGTTAGAACTTGGGATCATCCAATGAATGAAACTGGTTGGCCTTGCAGTAGATTCAGGAGAGGGAAGAATGGACAATGTCAAGATGTGTCCCGAAATTCTACTTTTAGAACGTAAGCTGTAAAATGAACACCAGGGTTTCCTGTGGCAATGGTAGTAAATAGCAGAGGTACTTGTTAATTATGCTCTGAAAGATTGGAATAGATTAGTATTAAAAATATGAGAGAATATTCCCTATTGAATATGTGCAACCTTTATGCTCTGAGATAGTACGACATTGACTACCAGCTGCATCTGGTTGGCCACTTTGGGATAAAAGATGGAGTAGATGTAAATGGACCTTGGGTTTGATTCACCAGATCCCTTCTTACAGAGTGTGCTTCATTAGTAAGAGTTACATCTACACTTCAGATATTTTTCAGATCAGCTTGCACAACCTTCAGATTAATGAAATAATTTGTGGTAGTCTTCAGAACAGCCCTGGGCATAGCCTGCTTCTGTAGTCCAATGTCAGTTTATATTGGCTTCTGCACTTCAATAAAATGTGCAGGTATTCCATAAAATAAACCCTATTTATTTTGGGGATTTAATATCTGCAGGACTTGTTAACCTGACTCAGATTTGTTTGCCATGGCAGATTTGTATGTTTCATTTTGAATTTATTGTTTTCTGTTGTAGAATCAGTGGTGTTGCCTTAAGACAGGCATCCCCTCCAGCTATTTTGAGACTACAATTCCCATCACCCCTGACCACTGGTCCTGTTAGCTAGGGATGATAGGAGCTGTAGTCCCAAAACAGCTGGAGGGCCGAGTTTGGGGATGCCCTTAAGAGCAATCCTATAGCAATATCCACTGGGATGAGGAGGGTTATGATCCAGTGGATCTCTGGCTGAGCTGGGAGGTTCCCAGCACAACTGGGCTACACCAGCATAGCTTGCCATCCTTGGCTCAGCTGGAGATACCTGGCTCAGCCAAAGTCTGGCATACCTTAAACTGGCATAAGCCCTGGAAAAGTGGTGTTGTGTGGCGGAACCAGAGAGGTGACATAGGCTGGGTCCTAAACATGTTGGCATGGCAACCCAGCGTAAGTTAAGCCAGCAAAAAAGGGTGGTGTCACCCAAACACTCTTTTAAAGCCTCATTTTCCCTCTATCAGGCTTGCGCCAGCTCAGCCATAAATAGCCCCGCTCCTGAATGGATCTGCTGTACTTTGCACCAGCTTAATTTACACCAGTTTGTTTTATGCCAGCTTCTTGTAATAAGGCTGATCCCTTATATTGAGTAAGGCCAGTGGTCCATCTAGGTCACCATTGTCTACACTGGCTAGCAGTGGCTCTCCAGGGTTTCAAACAGGGTACATACCTAACCTTACCTAAAGAAGTTGGAGATTGGAGCTGGGACCTTCTTCCTGCAAAGAGAATGCCATAGCACTGAGCCATGGCCCTTCCCCGTGCTCATCAGTAAAGAGAGTGAGCAGGTGTAAAGAAACACAAAGGTTCATTGTCCTTTGGCTAGCTGTGTGGCATACATACTGACAGGTGCAGGTTTATCAAGCTAGGCTTATAAAATCTGTATCAGCTGAAATTTCTTCATCTATGCTGCTCTTAAAAGTGGCACTGTCCTCCTTTCCATTTTAAATAAACCAGAGATAGGTTTGCCTCCTTTCATTGAGCTGATGATCCAGGAGGATCAGCTGCTATTTCTTCAATGAGAACTAATGACTAGGCGATGTTTCCTTAATTAGCAATCTACCTGCAGTGTGGGATCTAAGAAGAGTGTTCTCTTGGTGCTGGGACGTGGGCCAAAAAAATAAGCAGTTTGACTTTGGGCAGATGGAGAAACCAGGAGCTTTATGAGTTCTAGCAAACACCTGGGGTGTGTGCCATAGCCTTGGAGTGTCTGCGTGTGTTTGCACTGCAACTATTCCTCTTTGAAAATCTGCTGCAAGATGAGCAGTTGTTCTGCCTGCTGTTGGGGGTGGGGGTCTGCTTATAGATTTGTAAATAATCAGAGTCTCCAGAGCTCCCTCCCTTTCGTATCGCAAGGAAACAGACTCCGTAGAGAGGCAAACCTCCCATCCTTTCTATCAGGGGAGTGAGCCGAGGTGCTTTCATTTTTGTGGTAATGTCTAGGTTTACTGGGGTCTCTCTCTGTGTGAAAGGGCTTGGTAGATTGTGGGTGGGGTGTTGTTGTTGTTTTTACTGCTTTGCAGGTGGAGGGGCTTTGGCTTGTTGTTGCTTGGAGGACCGACGGAGCTGGAGCCACCGTGCGTCAGGCCAGTCCCCTTGCTGGCTGCCTTGGCAGCTTGCCCTGGCTGTCTGTGTCAATAGCGCAGCCGGTGACTCAGGAGGTTGCAAAGCTCCGTGACGGGAACAGGGATGAACTGATCCCTGCAGCCAAGGCAGAGGAGGTGTGTGTGTGTGTGGGGGGGAATTAGTGTGGTTCAGAGAGGCAGGATAGGAGGAACTGTCTCCTGCAGTAAGGGACCCAATGTCTACTAAGGTTGCAGTCCTAAACACATAAATGAGAAAGTCCCATTGAACACAATGGGAATACTTTCTGAGCAAATGCACATGTACTTGTACTGTTAAAATGGGGGAAATGGTGTGACACGGCTGCATGGCGGCTTATGTCTGGCTCTAGCTTTTGTTAGTGTGTGTTGGTGTTGGTGAGATCATTATTATTATTCATTTCATTTCGATACCACTTTATATTTTTCAGAAAACAATCTCAAAGCGGTTTAGAGCACATGAAAACCTCAAATTAAACAATAAAAAAATTACTGTAGAAAGTCAAACTATACATTCAAAGCAACACAATTAACAGGGAACTACAAA